ATTAAATAATTGATTAATCTCGTTGTTTTTATTTTATTTTATTTTATTTACCTTTGTAAGATCAATTTTTTTCTCTTTTTTCTTGATTAAACATACTATTGCGAATAATGCCATACTTTGTGCATGATTCAAAGATCGCAATCTATTTGTAATAGGTGAAATGATGATGTCTGTATTAATAATTTGATTAATATGTGTAATTGTAATTTCTGGCATTGAAATTTTTTGTTGTTGTTCTAATGAATTTTCAGAATCTGAAAGAACCGTTTTTTTTATTGATTTCTTTCTGTCCTTTTCCTTTTCTTCCAATTTTTTTTCTTCTGTTTCCTTTTCTTCTAATTCTTCTTCTACCAGTTCAATCGCTTTCATGCAAATATTCAACGCTAATCTTAAATCACCATTACAAGCAGCAACTTTTTTTGCACAAAGCTCAATTGCTTTATCTTGCATCAAAGATGATGATATTGGTTTTTCTGACATCATAATTGAATTTTCCTTTTCTGCAGAGGCTGCAGCTAAAAGACGATCTTTAATTATTTCCATAATTTGAGAATCGTTATATGGTGTAAAACTAACTTGTTTCGGTTCACCTGTACATGTACATATGTAGGAATATGTGTAAAATAAAGGTAAATAATAGTTAAACAAATCATAAAAAAAAAAAATGTTAAATGTAAAATGACTAATTGACTTCATTTCTTGCTTATATATATATATATATTACATGTATTAATAGTTTTTAGGCTTCAAAATGTTTTAATTATCTATCTACTACCAATTTTGGATATAATTCTTCGCATTTCTGCTTTTGATACATACTTTTGCGATTTCTGCGGTTTTTTGCTAAAAGCAGAAAAAAATCATCGACCTTGGAACTTAGTAATAGTGAAACACCCTCAATATTATTCTAAAATTCAGAGTTTTTTTTATGCTGCAAATACTTTAATAATACTCAAGATATGAAAGTGATAAATGATTAAAAATTTTTTATTAAAAATTTGATATATTTGCAAAAATATCACAAACAAATGTTTTACTTGTTAATCAACCAAGCAAAGATTATCAATTAATCAAATAAAAAAATAATTAGATCGATCAATCTTTAATTAACATCAAAGCTTTCTTCAATAAAGGCTTCTTGTCTTTTAAGATATCTTCAACATCCTTCGCTCTAACACTCAAAGTGATCTTATTAGCTCTAGATATTTTGATTACATTGGAATTTTTAAGTACTTCAGTTGCTGCTTTTAAAGAACACAAATTAGTTTCCAATGGCAAAGTGGGATTCCTTTTTGAAAATACTTGTAGAAATTCTTGTATCTAATTAAAAAAATATTTATTTATTTATTTATTTATATAAAATATTAGTGAAA